GGAAAGGTCTTTTCTGGCCACTGCTCAAGCCCTCATAGATGTTGGGCAAGAGAAATTAGTGTTGAGAGTTGGTGATGAGAGAGTAACTTTTAGCATGGATAAAATGGCAAAACAATGTTGTGAATCCAGAGATGAGTGTTACTTTCTAGATGTCATGGAACCACTAGGAGAAGAGGGAGTAAATTACCCTCCTTTTAAGGAATCTTTATTTGATCCCTTTATAGACAAAGGTCGTGATAAAGGCCTTGACCCACTCTTATGCTCTAGCTATGACCCTGAGGTGAGCATTTGGCTTTATGAATTTCAAGTTTTGTGTCATTTAAGGACGTTTGTTGATGGGAGGTTTGACATGTGGAGAACTAATTTTTTGAGTAAGAGCATTTTTTATTGAGTTTATAAGGAGGATCGTTGCGTCGGACACACGGCGTTAAAAATGGCACTTCTCGAGAGGCAACACGGGCTTCTTTTTCATTTTAGCTTTCATTGTTGTCTTTGTTTTAAAAACAAATACAAAAAAAAAGTTTTTTGAGTGTTTGCGTGCCCTCCTTGCGTGTCAGAGAACGAATTGCACAGCCTCAAAAGTACTCGCCCGGTGGAAATGCAGGCAGCAACACGCCCCATGCGGAATTAATTTTAAAACGCCCAGCCCATTATTATTTGGATGCATTGCTTTGTATTTGTTTGTGCAGCTTGATTTCTAGAACGATCGATGATTTGCTATTTGAATTGCGCTTTCGAGTGTGTTCTGGACCGGCCAAAGGCCTAGAGAAGTTTTCACGACCTAATTCTTACTGTTTTGTTTGGTTTACTTAAGTTAGTGAACACGTGTGATCCATTTCTCTTTATCCCTGGTTCATATTGCATATTTTGATCATCGAGAATAGTAGTTATTACATAACATTATTATTGTTAGCATGCGCAAGTTTTACTTGTATATTCATAGAAAAGTCATGACAAATTGTTTGTTAATTTTTTTCTTTAAACTGTTTCTTTGTGAGCGCGCTGGCTAGAGTTGACATTTTTCTATTAAAATGTCTTTGAAGTTTTAGGCTTAAATTATTTACACCTTTAATCTAGTTGTTGAGATGAAGAAGGCATTAGTTATCCATTTAATTCATTTTTTCATCCCACCTGCACGAGTCATTTAGGAGAAGCCAATTTGGGCTTGATCTTTCTGTTCTTTATTTACCCATAATATGAGCTCTATTGCCAAATGGTCTGTGTTCTTATCCGTTAATAATTCTGAAAGAGTTTTGGTGTTTAGGGTACTAAAGGATTAATTTGCTAAGATTAGGGACTTTTTGTTGGAGCCAATTTTGGCACTGTTTCTATGCACCAAATGGGGTAAGAGCAATCACTTTTTATTTAACCCGGAAGGCAAACCACCAAAATCAGTGAGACAAATGTCAGGGAACATTTGCCATATTTTATTAATGCTAAGAGAAGTACAGAACGAAGAGGGGGACCAGACAAAAACCTCTTCTAGAGGGCATTCCCTCTAAAATACACGAAAGTAACATGTAAAAAAATAAGACAGACATTTTGGGGGGCTAGACCTGACCCAAAATGAAAACAACAAAAATTAATCACGTAAAATAGGAAAACCAAACAGATCAGCAAAATAACTCTTCTTAACCAAACCGGGAAGATGAGCCACATAATTAAACCACATAGTCTGGGCCGATTGGAGCTTTAGACCCGCCAACCAATGGTAAGAGCAATCACTTTTTAGGAGTTTGATATTTACGAGGATTGCATTCTAGGCATAGATTCACCTGTCTAATGAACTTTAATTGCTAAACTTTCCTTGGTGAGACCGAGATTAGAATGGGGTAATGTCTAGTAAATCTGAAAAATGAAAAACAAAATTATTAATTAATATAGCCTGACTTCTTACCTTGCGAAAAAGAGAATGGGAGACCGGGTCAAAAAGCGTAAGTGTTTTGCACAATAAGATGAGATTTGGGGATTTTTCAAAAGCGTAAGTGTTTTGCACAATAAGTATTTTAGACAAAACTTGATCATGTACTTTGTAATTCACGTATGCATGCATAAGAAAGTACACACAAAAGAAGTACCAAAAACAAAAGAAAAGAAATAAAGGTACAATAAGAGTTGACTGAATACTGAAAATCAGTAGCCTACCGAAATCAGACAGCTGATTTTCATTTCCATCTGGGGTCAAGGAATCTCAAAAATTTGTACAACTTCTTTCTCACCGAAATCAGTAGCCTACCGAAATCAGGCAGCTGATTACTCTCAATGAAAGACAAAGTAAAAATTGAAATGTTTTTACTTTGCAACTTGACTGAAAAAGGAATTCACGGGATTCTAATAAACAAGTGGGCTACGACCTAAAGAACTTTGTAAGTCAACACATACTCTCTTATTCAAATACAAGTGTAAAGCATGGGCTCAAGAAGAGAACAAAAAGAGACTCGGGCTACTCCAAAAAAAGACAAAAAGAGAGCATGTTGAAGATAGAAGATCGAGTGGATGCATCAACGATCAAGATTGAATCTCCTCTACCAACGGAAGATATTCAACAACTATAAGTCTATAAATACTCAAAGGATGTGACGAATAAGACTCAACGAGTTTTGTGCAATCAAGACAATTATACTCAGAATATCTTGCAAAAGATAAAATATTAATTCATCACTTTATTCTTAGCTCGTTCACATTTCTTTAAACTCTTAGACTAGTCCACAATGAATATTTATACTAGAGTTTAGAATAGTTGGAAAGAAGTTGTAAACACCTTTGGAAGAATTTGTGATACAAATCCAAAGAGTGGGTAGAATAGGACATGAGTAGCTCTTGAATCAGTTTGGTTCATTAGTGAAAAATCTAGGGAATAGGACATGAGTAGCTCTTGAATCAGTTTGATTCATTAGTGAAAAACCTAGAGGCAAGAGTAACTTGGAGTGGTTGTACTCCTTGTTAAAATCTGACAGTTTATGCCTATGATCAAGGGTAAATTGGTTACTAAGTGTATTGTTTGATAAGTTAGTAGAAATCCATCTATAGAGTGAGACTGGATATAGGAGGATTACACCACCTCCGATCCAGGATACATCAGCGTGTCAAATTCTTTAATCCACAAATAACCAATCAAAGCCTTTATAAACTCCCAGAAAAATAGCTTCCTCAGAAAACCAGTTTCAACAGCCTGCTGATTTTTCTTCAAGTCTGTTTCCAGAAAACAGTCTTCTCAAAACTCTCAGTGTGTCTATCAAAAGTCAAGTCTTCCGTTGCTGATCCTAACCTCAAAAGTTGACTAGGATCAAACTCATAAAGAGGGAAAGAAACCTTAAATCGAAAAGATTTAAAAGTCTATTCATCCTCCCCTCTAGACTTTTACCGGGACCATCACTAATGATAAGATGTTATTTTTAATTCCTTGACTTGCATAAAAAAAATCCATTGTTGTATGACGATTTCATCACTATGAAGTCTTGAGTCTTTCTTTATTATATAGGGCTACATGTCTATGTATGAGACTATGAGCATTGAGTATTATCACCGTAGTACTATTAGGACCGTATCTAAAGAATATTTGACAAAGATATCAATGACCCATTTCTATTTTAAAATATTACATTTTCAAAACTCAACTCTTTATATACGGAGTACATACTTTACATGTCTCTTACTAAAATTCATATTTTTTGTGGGATATCCAAAAAGGTCTCTTTTCCTTAATTATTTAATATTTGCAGTTTTTAGTGTCAAATCATGTTAAACGGTTCAAAGTTCAAATAATAAACGTAAACATATACGTAGCATATATATGTCACACTAAATTTATCTCAATAAAAGGGACACTAGCTTTAGGGAGTGTTTGCAATAGCTTAAAAAAAGCACTTCTCAGCTTTTGGCTTAAAAAATGCACTTATTTATCAAATACTATCAATTTTTACTTTTTTTCGGCTTGCGTGTGAAAAATGTTTTTCCCTTTTCTATGACACAAAAAGCACTTATTTTACCAAACACTACCAATTAACTTTTACTTTTCAAAATCACTTTTTTCTCAAACACTATCAACTTTTACTACTTATCATTTTTCTCAATCACTTCAAAAGTGCTTTTTTTAAGCAGAAGCAGTTGCAAACACTCCCTTAAGCAGTTGAGAAAGAGAAAACTTTCTATTTTCTTAAATTGTATGATTTTCAAATTAAAGAATTGTTTAAAAGAAGTGCATATATATATGTGTGTGTGTGTGTGCGCGCGCGTGTGTGTATGCCTTATTGTTCCAAATATTTTATGGTATCTCCATCCCATTTTTTGTGTCTTATTTTTATTTGACAAAATTATCAATAAATGATTGAAAAAGTAAAAGTTGTGATTTAGATTTGAGTATAATAAAATGAAATGTTGTAAACCACATATTTGTTTAAAAAAATTAAATCTTATTTTGAGATAATCCAAAAATTAAAATATGACATGTAAAATACGATGGATGGAGTATACTTTTTTTAAGGAAAAATATGTTTTCGCCCCTTTTTTGTACACTTTTTATGTAAATCCCCTATTTTACTTGTGTATAAATGCAATTGGGAGCATAAATTATGTGTACACATACCCAAATGTACACACAAATTTAAATTAAGAGCCCGTTTGGTAACACTAAAATTGGCTGAATTGGCTGATTTTGCTGAAATTTATGAAGTTCTGGCTGAAGTGGCTGTATTGGCTGATTCTGCTGATTCGTTAAAAAATTATATTTAAAATATTTGTTATTAATAAATTAAATAAAAAATTATATGAAAATATAGCTAAAATGATCCTCTACAGTAACTTCAGCCAATACAGCCAAAAAAATAACTCTAACTTCACTTTTTCTGCTTATTACAAAATTCAGCGCATGAAAAAGCTGACAGATAAGCCTGGTAAGCCAAAAAAAAAGGTCACCGGGCTCTAAGTTCTAAGTCAGCTCTCCTATTATAATACTCTGTATCATTCTCCATACATCACATATTCACATATCCTTTCCCATTTTAAACGCTTTCTTCCCTCTATACCTGCGGCCACTTTTCTCCTCTCTACTTCTAGCTATAGCTGTCAAATAGGCGCACACAAAAACAAAGCAAAACAATGGTGATTTATTATTCTCAACTTATTCTACTCATTATCTTCATTTCCATTAATATAATTTAAATTTTGTTTGTGGTTGTTTTTAATCTTGTTGCTATGAATTATAATGACTTATGAATGAATTGAAGGTAGGGGGGTCAATAAGGAAGAAGAAGAAGAAGGTGGAGTGGTTGGGCGGATTGCTTGGTAGTAAATTCTTCGGGTCGTGCGTTGACCACATCGACCGCCGGAAAAATGACCGGAATATGTTTTGTATAGATTGCAACATCGGCGGCTTCTGCCGGCACTGTATCAACTCGCCGTCGCATTCTTCCATTCGCCACCGTTGGTTACAAATCTGCAAGTATGTTTATCAGGACGTCGTCCGTCTCCACGATATCCAGAAACACCTCGATTGTTCTCTTATTCAAGTCAGTCACCCACCTCTCTGATCTCTTTTTTCCTAAATACGGAGTATATATTCTTACTAGCCAATTTTATGGTGTTTGTTTTATTTATAAAATATACTCCGTATTATATAAATAAAATATATAAAAAATAAAACCAAATTAGGCATCGTTAGAAAATAAAAATTTTCTAACTTTTTTACTCCTATTTCGGGAATTTTCCCATCCGAAAAGGGAAATTACCTTAAATAGGACAAAAAACGTTTGTATGTTCCAAAATAGGATTATCATGTTTGTATTACCAAAATATGACCAATTACTGCCATGTTTTGGCAGTACCAGACTTTAAACATGACAGTATTTTCCAAACATGACAGTAATTACTCTTATTTTGGGAATAAAAACATGGCAGTCCTATTTTGGAATTTTTCAACTTTTTTACTCCTATTTCGGGAATTTTCCCATCCGAAAACTAATACCAGCCTTATTAATTTTGATTGCTACATAACTCGGTGCGTGTCAAAAAATCAGTATTTGATAAATAAAAAAGAAAAGAAATTGTGTTCTAAATTGAAGTAAAAACGTTTTTTAAATCCAAAATAGGACTTTCCTGTTTTTATTCCCTAAATAAGAGTAAATAATTCTGCCAAGTTTGGGAACAACTTGGTAGAAATTACTCCTATTTAGGGAATAACAACATGACAGTAGTATTTTGGAAAAACTTTTTTACCTCTATGATGGATGGTCTACCCGAGGGGTATCTTATCCGAGGGGTTATTGCGGGAATAACTTAGAGAGAAGTCAGAGCCAATAGGAGGAGAGAGAGTCGATTTTATTAAATGAACTCAGCGTGTGTAATCGGGATGTCGATTATTTTTTACAAGGAGATATGGGCTGCTATTTATAGCAGCAATAAATGCGATGAGGGGACACGTGTCAGTAATCCAACGGCCGAAGGGTCACATCAGCCTGGTGGCACCGGCAGTGGTACGTTTACCGCATTGAATGCGGTTGGCGGATGTGACGTGACATTAAATGCGGTGGTTGGCTGTCCCCAAAAGGAATCTTCGATGATTGAGCATGCTTGGCCGAAGGCTTCTTGCGTAGCCGAGGGCTCCGTGTAACCAAGGACCCCCGTGTACTCGAAGGCCCCGAGTGGCAGAGGGCTACGTTCACCGAAGGCTCCCCAAATGCCGAGGGCTTGGTAATGCCGAAGGCTCATGTTTTTCGCCGTTTTCTCCCAGTAGCTTCGTATGTCAGAGAGGGCTACTTCGTGAGTTTCTGGAGCCTTCGGCCAGGGAGGCCGAAGGCACCCCGGTATGTATTCCGGGCTATTTTGGGGCCTGGGCCGTTGCTTTTGGGCCTGAGTTGTCCTCTGGGCTTATCGGGTATGTGTAGCAGAAGTAGGAGTCTATGGGCCGGGGGTTCCCGGGCCATATACTCCATCAGGAGTCCCTCACTCCTTTTGCCGAAAGGTACTTGAGGGAAAAGGAGTAGATGTGTTGATTCTTCCGGGGCTTCATCGCCCGTCTGGGTGCCTTTGTTTGAGAACTTGCCTTCTGTTGATTGCCGAAGGCTTCCCTCAGTCCCTCACATGTCGAGGGTTTTCTGAGGGAAGGTATTCGTAACCTTCGCATGTTCGCCGGGGGCTTCCCTCAGTCCCTCACACGTCGAGGGTTTTCTGAGGAAAGCATAGATGTATTGTCTGCATGTATTGTGATGAGGGGTTGTACTGTGATGTTTGCCCGGAGGCCGTATGCGTCAATTGTAAATTGTTGCATGAAGAAATTTTTGTTGTGTATGATTCCCGAGGGGTGTATCCCAGTCCCCCACTCCTTTAGGCCGAAGGCAAGTTCGGGCTGAAGGAGTCACGTTGTGTTGATGAGTTCCCGAGGGGTGATGAAGGCTTATGCTGCTACGGCTCGAAGGCGTTTGGTGGAATTCGCTGTCCGAAGGCTGCGGTGAGTGTTAGCCGGAGGCTGCAAAGATGAGCTCGCCTCAAGTTTCCAAAATAGAGCCGTTGGAATAGAGCCGTTGGAGAGGGGTTCCACGTGTCAAGTTTTTGGTGGCTGAGAGTGGGCGGATGGCACCTATTGGTCAAACTGGCGGCATGTAATGATGGCTTTTCAAACGGAGGCCCATACATCGAGGCCCAAAAGCCTATAAATACCCAAGGCCAGAGTCATTTGTTCTGTGCGTTCCTTAAGCTATAGCGAAGCTCTGCCAAATTTTCTAGAGAGATAAACTCCCGCCCTCGATCAGACTAATCTTTCTGAGGTCAGTTCTTCTTTTGTTCTTCGTGGCCTTAGTATATTTTGCTTTTCTTTCCTTGATTAAGTGTTAAAACCAATTTAGAGCCCTCGGTTAGGATCTCTTCCCTGCCTATCTTCATGTCTTCTGCGAGTGATTCCCAAGATATCTCGAGGGACCTCTCGGTTCAAGCCGAAAGCATTTCCGACGTGGTGTCTTCGAGCGAACAGCCCTCGACAACTAACGACCTGGCCGTAGCTGAGGAAGTGCAGAGCCGCCTCCTGGTGGAGATGGAAGCTGAAGATTTCGAGCAAGTAATCGAAGACGAGGAGATGGCCATTGCGGTCCAAGTTGCCCAGGAGGCGGAGGAGAGTGAAAGGCAGAGGGTTACCGTTGCTATGCTTCCCCCTCGGAGAACTGGTGAGGCGAGTAGCTCCCGGCCCTTGGATCCGGAGCCTCTTAGCGTTGCCCCCGGAAAGAAGAAGAAGAAACTGAGGGCCGCTCCAAAGAAGAAGCAAGCGGCCGTGGACGCCGGGCAGCCGGTTGGGATCCCTGAGGGGCATTCATATTTGGACACCACGGCCCTTGAGGTGAAGACCACGGCGTCGGGCGCCGAATGCTTAGCCCTCCAAGTCCTCGTGGGGCCGTCGGCACAAGTAGTAGAACCGGGGCCTGACGACTTGCTATCCCATCCCCCCGAAGGGTGCTTTTCGGTGCATATGCTGTCGGTGGAGTTGGGCCTTAGATTCCCACTCCACCCCTTCGTCGTTGAATACCTGAGGTTTGTTAAATTGGCTCCCTGTCAACTTACACCGAACAGTCATTATTACCTGGCGGGATTCCTGGCCCTCTGCCGCAGCCGTGGGGTGACTGCTACGTTAGACCAGTTCTTCGTATCCTTCAATCTTTGTCGGGGAGGGCACTCGCACGCTGGGGGGTATGCCAACTTGCAGCAGGTTCCGGCATGGAAACTCTTCTCCGAGACCCCCTCCTCCCACAAAGAATGGAAGGAGAAATTCTGTTATATTCGGATTGCCGAAAATCCATTCCCGGGGGCCTTGCGTAACCACTTCAAGAGGCATCCGAAGGTGGGTAATGCAGCTCTCGATAAGGCGGGGAGGAAGCTCACTAAGAAGCCCGAAGGATCCAACCAAGTGATCACGATTAAGGAGGCGGCATCACCTGAGGAGTTGTACCTGCTGGGTTTCCGGCGATATCGCCTTCCGGGGGACGAAGACGAAAAATATCCTTTGATCGACCGGGGATATCAAAACGCCGAAGGTTGTAGCCGGGGGCTGTCTGTTACTGGTACTTAGGATTATTTTTCCTTGATTAGCCCTGATTCTAACCCTTCTTTGTCTTTTGCAGGTGATATTATGGACGTGCAAGCCTTCGCGCGATTATCAAAAAAGCTGTCGAAGGCCCCGAAGAAGAAGAAGGAGGAAGGGGGACCCTCGAACCAACTCTTCGTCGACGATGTTCTCAAGAAGGCTGGGGCCTCCAAAACTCCGGAAACTAAGGAACCCCCCAAGGAGGTTGCTGCTGGTGACACCGGTGTTGGTGCCGGAGGCTCCCAAGCCGGGGAGCTTAAGAGAAAAAACACCGGGAAGGGCTCCAAGCCTCCGGTGACTAAGAAGCAGAGGGGGGCCGATGAAGGTAAGGGTGCCCCCCTCGTGATCCTTGAAGAGCCCTCCCCCTCTCATCTGGTGGACCTTGACGAGGGGGCCTGGCCGCAAGAGACGGTGCGGTTCTCCTTTAAGAAGGGGACTGCCATCGTGCACGGCACCCTCGATCCGAGGGAATATCTGAAGGGTGCCACTCCCCCTTTGGATTGCTCGACCCTCGGTAAGTTCGAGGACGAAGCCCTCGAGCGAAGAGCACTCGAGGCCTCGGTCACTGTAAGTCCCTTCCCCTCGCTTAAGCTCATGCTTTGTTTTCTCATATTTTCTGCTTGCATGGTTTGACCTTGAATGCCCTCCTTTTGCTTACAGGCCAGCCTGGCCTTCGGAGAGTATGTCCGGAGGATGGAACAGGTGCGTTTGGACAAGGCAAAAAATGACGCTGCCCTGGAGAAACTCATCAGGGACCATTCTGAGGCCATCAGATGTTGCGCCGAGCTGGAGCTGGCCCTTAAGCAGTCGGGGGAGAAGCTCAAAGAGGCAGAGGAGAAGGCCCGAGCCGAGGGCAAGGCTGAAGCTGAGAAGGCGGCTGCTGAGGCCTCAATGAAAGCCGCCGAGGAAGCGGCAAAGGCCAAGTCCGAGGCCGTCTCCAAAGCCGAGAAAGATGCCGTTGCCGCCTTCCAATCCGAGGGGTGGAAAGCAGATGACTTAGAACCGTGGAGGGCCTCGGTGGTGGAGTCTTCAGTGGATGCTTGGGTGAAAGGCCCCGGTGCTGAGTGGATGGCCCTAAAGGGCAAAGATTATTTCGATGGGGGCGAGTTCTTCACCCAGCGTCTCATCTACCGGAAGCTGGCCGAGCATTTCAAGATTCCCAAGGACAATTTCGATCCTTCGGCTTATGGTCTTCCTCCCCGGCAGCCTGATGTGAGGGTCCCCCTCCCGGAGGGCGAGGAAAGGGTTCAGCTTGCGGACTCCGAGTTAATGAGGGAGTATGGCCTCCATGATGAAGAAGATGCGGAGGATGACGCAGCCTCGAAGCCGAGGGACGAGGCAGCTGCAGAATCCCAAGCTTGAATTTTCTAAGTATAATTGAATGTAATAGTGGTAGGCTCCGGCTTCGGCCTCGTATGTAAACAAACATCCTTTGTTAACACT